AACAAGTGGCGAGGAGGCGAGTAAAATTGTGCCTCCTTGTTCGGTTAAAAAATCGCAGAAATTTCCTTCTCACTTCGCTTGTACCACGTTGGAGCGACGAATAGATAAAATATTCATTTCTAAATGAAGAAAGTGAACTAGAATCCAAGATTTTTCCGCCGTCTCTGGAGACTGAGATCAACCGTCCCTGATTTCGACGTTCCCCGGCTAAAGAGGACCTATTCATGCCCCATAGTTCTTTTATTTCCTGGAGATATCAATAAAATACACAAAACGTCTAAGTCCAAATAATCGGCATGAACACTAGTATCAGTGCTATAAAAAAGTTATAACAAAATCTTACATTATATCAGAGAATAAAATTAAGCAAATAATTAGGTTAACAGTGAATTTAACCTCCGCGTAATTCAATAAAGGTACGTAACAGCAAGCACAGAACTTCGAGAATGCACGTACATTTACCGGCTATATTTCAGGAGCCGACTGGTAGGTATGCACATATGTGAGGTTTCAAACGTACCGATTTCAGCAAGCTAATATAAGTCTGCTGAAAATCAGTGCAGCAGTTTGAAAATGTCATCTGTCGAACGTTTAACTTTAACAGGATAGACCAATTCTCAGAATAATTCGGTAAGTTAGCGAATTATTCAACGGAATAGCTACGCAGAAGACAGGACTGCAATAAAACGGTTATATATACAGTATATGACATAGACAAGCGTTTACAGGAAAGGCTCCACGTCGGACAATTTGTTGGCCGTAAATAAAAGTAATTTACAAAAGTAACTGCAAAAGTTCTCACTAGTGTTAAATCTTCAACATACAATTTAAGCTTTGATTTTGTAAGCGAAAGTCAAATTAAATTAAAGCATTTTACAAAAGCTCAAGCCAAAATAGTCACGAGTATGAAATTTTCAACATATAATTCGAGACAAAATCATGCATAGGTACATCAGTCTAAGTTAGTGCTTCTGAAGCCTGGCGCTGGAAATAAATGGAAGGGCTATTTGAGCGCGCATCAAAGTTACTGATGTAGGTATATTTCTTCGATTGGAAAATTCATTCTTAGTAGGAAAGGTAAGGCACTGCAGGTGCAGGAGAACGTATCCCTAGAGGCTCGAGCAACGAGAGCGGAGAGCTGGGGGTCACTGAATCCCTACCGTCAATGACGCGTAATAGTCGCCAACTCGGCTGTCAACTGCTCACCTCGCCGATCGCCGTTAAAAACCGCATAATACTGGTCATTGGTCAGAACTATGATTTGTGGAGTTCGATAATCGAATGATAACTACAAAGCGGTTTTAATTACGCCAGAGAAAGAGAGATGTAGTTTAGTTTAGTTGATAAAATAGATAGTTTATATTGAATAATTGAAAGCCAGCAACTTAAGCGATGTGGCTACGTTATCGACATCGACGATTGAGTCGGGGATGCATAATTAAATAATGTTTGTAGTTTGTACAGACTGCGTCCGTGAAGCCTTTTTCAAGTTCCAGCGGCAACAAATCGCCAGAAGGTATATGTAACTACCTATAGGAGAGAACATAGGCCTAATTGCATTCGAAATGGAGCAGCGAGCCCGAGCACGGTAGCAGGATTACACAGGGCAGTCGTTTATAGGGCTAAAGGGGAAAAAATATGCTTCCCATAATCCCATTGGCTATTGGGTGATCGAAAAATTCAATCTCGAGTTACTGATACACACATTTTTTTCGAAAATCGTTGACGGTTTTCGATGCCTGATGACCATTGTAGAAAAGATGAGCTCTTACCTCAGCATACGTCGTCACTCGTCAGACTCGTCACTGACAACCTTACTTGAACCATCCAAAAATTAAGCGGACGTCAAAGAACAGATTTCAGGAAGAAGTATTCGTCCATTCTCCATGGACTTCAGTTCATTTAAAATTGTCTACTTTAAATGAAGTTGATGCCAGAGTAGCCAGACTAACATTGTGTGTACAAGATTATAATCATCATAAATTTCTCCGGAGATTCTAAGATTCAGTAGAATGAAGTCCTGCTTCAAAACACCCAGTCGGAAGGAACAGCTTAGTGGATCGGCAGCTTACGTGACACAACTTATCACGGCAGTAGCTGCACTCCAACTGAAGCCTTTGGCCCCTTTGCATCAGCTTCAGCTAAGGTTTACTGCATCGGGCGCACAGCGGTAAACGTTTTTACGAACGTTGCTGGCGGGATAATTACGTTAAAATAGAAGCTTCCAGCGTAATTGCGTGAATCAGAGCATGAATGTAGTGCATTCAGACCATTTTGACAGATTATCATCAGAGTTTATGTGTGCAACTTTTTCATTTCATTCTTTATTAATTTCATTTTCCGAGAATTTGTAAAAGCTCAAACGCTTGCCAGAAGTATTTCACAAGTTATCGCCGTGCGTACACAGAATAATTTCGGTGATTCATGAATCTCACAATTATTGTTATTTGTTTTAACATTAGTATTATTATTGCATTACTGCTTAGCACACCCTGGTACAATGGAACGAAAATTCTTTACAAATCCTTGCGTACTTTTCGCTTATCCATTTAATACCCAGTTCAAGTTTTTAAAACATTCAGTAGCAAAATTTGAGATAGTTCTATCTAGCGGGGCCTGGAAGTGGACGCGGTGGTGCAGTGCTCAGTGGTCTGGCGTCATGAAAACTCTTAACTGATACCGACGAGCTCTCGTACAAAAATATGTCATTTCAGTAATCAAAAGCAACACATTCAACGTTTAATTCAAATAATGAATATTATTTTGTAGATAAGTATGATGAAGAAATATACCTACATGAGATTAATTCTTATGTTTGCATTATTATTTGACTTAAGTTTCCACAACTTTTTGAAGAATAAATCATAGCATCTGTGTCATCACCTTACGACTAAAGATTTATCATTGCGCTGTAAAAGTAGCCCGCAAAACCTCACAATAAAAGTCAGCCTTGACAACTCGTCATTTATTTAATTAAATCGTCATTAAGCTAATTAAAAAGAAATGCATATCATTTTAATGTAAAGCAGAGTAAATCTATTCACTTTCTGTAAGAATTTTCCAAAATATTTGTAAAGGCATGTGCTGTCGGATACGTAATCAAGCGACTTCATTCTGGAATTCATCACCGCTCGACTTCATTTTTCAAATGAACCTTTCAGTTCTCCCTCCAATTATTTATTCGTGGCAGCAACCGATGCAATAAATTTGGCCATGTTTTCTTCCTTTGGAAATACCAAATTGGGAATGATTTCAAAAGTGGCCTCCATTGAACTGGACGAAGTCAGTGCATCCAAAAATTTGCCTCTCCGAGTGTTTGATCTGAGGAGTTTTGCCTTCAGGAACGAGACGACGAAATTTACGGTATAAATTTTCAAATGAATATCCAATAATTCTCGTTCACTGGCTTGGGAAATACTCGAACATCGGGTGTGTTCTCCAATACAATTTTTATCGTTAAAAATATTTCTTTGTTAACAAATTACTGAGCAATTTGTTTGACTTGTGTTTTCTCAGATAAAGTTTTTACGTATTCGCTATTTTCCGGCAAAACCAAGAAAATATGAGCTTGCCACATATTTTACAATATTACAAAAAATGCAAGAGCCTCTGGTGAGAAAGTTTGAAACTGTACCAGCAAATTTGAGTTCTTGAAAAACCATGTAATTTAATAACAAATAATGTATTGTAAAACATAATGTAATATTTAAAATCTTTTGTTGAGGTTCATACATCCTGGATCGGATGTCTCTGATGTCTCACATTTATATTGTAATCTAAAGTATTAATTTACTCTCCACAAGTCACGGCACTCATTCAGTCCAGCACAGCGCCATTCCCACCTCGAATTAACCTCTTAAATGTTTAATTACATAAGAGAAACCGCCGCAGACAATAGAGCTGACATATTAACTATAACCTGTTATCCCACTCTAGCGATATTCGATCGTCTTCAACTCCATACTATATACTAACACGGTAGAGACACGATAGTCTAATCTTTAGTAATGTACGTATTTGCCTACCAAACAGCCATATAAGATCGTTCATTCGTTGTCGTATTGGAGCTTCTTCCTTTGCAGAAACCGGCGGAATCTTTGATAAACCTGTGATTATTACATCGTCTTATCCACCAACCATCTAAAGCAAACTATATTCTTCTTCGATACTCTTAACGGTCAAATTCAGAATTTCTTTAGAATTTACGTTAATTTGAAAATTTTAGTAATTAAATTTGTTTTATCATTGTCTCAATGGCCGAACCAGTGATGAGAATTTACTTGAAATATCACCTGCAATGCCAACGGGAAAAGGACCAATAATAACAAAACGATATACATTGTTCGAGTTTATGACTGTACAAAGTAACATGAAGCTAGGATTAGACGCTCGACAGAGATTTTCGTGATGGCAAATAAGTGTTAAAAACCCAGCGTAGAAATTAACTGTATTAGTGGCATCGTTAAAAAGAGGCAAGCCCTTGCTTTTCTGGTACGATTCATCATGCACCTGTATATCGCTAGACCAATGTACTACTAAATGCAACTATACATACGAGTAGAAAATTGAACAATATATTTATATATAGTAAAACGTTATTCTCGCCTCCAGCAATGTCATAATATATCTATAGCGAACCTTAATCATAAATTAGTCTTCTGATATAAAAATACAATATTTCATGCTATTCGCTTATCACTTACAATGGCATTGTCGTTGAGCGCTAAAAACACCGGGAAACAACAAAATTCATTAACAGAAAATTTATGGCGCGTTGAATCATAAAGAAAACTGTGTGCGTGTCTCTCTATCAACATCAAAAAGCTAAGTATTAAAATAAAGAAAAATAATGAGTGCATCAGTTTACTTCTACTCACGTCTTCCCAAACTGAGGGTAAACAAACTCTGAGGGCGATTTTTTAAATTCATTTGGGTTTGTGGAAGAATGAGTGTTTTAATTTGAAATAATTAATTAATTAATTAATTAATTCGAACAAATATATCAATGTTGGCAATATATTTATGTACACTGAGAAAAATTAATATGGCAGGATGAAAAAGACATTTCGAGACATTGTAATTGCTTGTCAATTGAACCTTTTAATAATATAAAATATTAGTAGAATATTGCTCACACAGTAACTGATTAGGTCCGCCCACTAGTGATTAGATTGGACAACTCATTCTTTGATCTGCTTCAAAATAACTGCGTTCCGACACCACAGTCTGGCTATATTCCGTATCGTTCATGACTGTTCATTTAAGGTTAGCTGTATAATAAGGTGCTTGTACATGGGGACAGCGGCGCATCAGCGTGACCGTGGACTAAGAAGTCCTAAACTTGTCATAAGGTCAGCAGTGGCGGCCAGTGCAACTTTCAAATGATAACCGCCACCATCACAGCTATGGTCTTGTGTATAAGAGCTAATAACCACGGAAGGACTCGGTAATTCTTTACACGAGACCAAGAGCAAGACAACTAGTGGCGGCTAGCGTTCAAAAGAAATAATGGCGGCCACTATTGTCCGTCCTCGTGCACAAGCCTCCTTATAGACGCTAGTTTCACTGCTCGAAGATAACCTCGAGTCTGCAAACACGGCTGCGTCAGTCTGCTGCCGCAGCAGCAGAGCTACGTCAGTGTAGCGCAGACGCAGGAGCTCTGCGGGATCCACAGTGGCAGCAGAATTTTGCCAGAGTCAGCGGGTACTTGTGGCCACACTCATAGCAGAATCTGGGGGCGCCGTCATCACCTTTTGCTGAGTCTGCAAGATTCCTAGCATTGTCAATGGAAGCCTTGGAAGTGGTGGAAGCATTAAACAGGTTCTTGGAATTCCCGACGTTTAGGCTTTTGGCGTCGGACAAACTGGATAATTTAGAGGCTTTCGGTTCAGAAAATGTAGATTTATATCCACCAGAATTGACATCCAGTCTATTTGGGGTCGGTGAGTTGCCTATTGCAGTTAGACTTGATATGACATCCTGCAAGGTCTCGCTGGGCGAGTGTTCCCTACTAAATGTTGACCCTCGGGCCTCAACAGGCTCGGTGATGGCAGGACCTAATCTGGGGGTAACGAGGGGACCATGTCCCCCTACTGTGTCCCCTCTAACGGACTTGGCGGGGGTGGTGGGGGACATGGGGGAAGACAGTGGGGGAAGAGAAGAGTCACTCGAAGAGCCGCTGGATTTTCTTATCGTGAAGGGGGACGCTTCAGGCCTCCTGGAAGAGTGAGTCAGTAGTTAGGCTTTTTGCAACGTCAGGATTCTGATTGCATAATTACGATTCGTATTGATAGTTTGCTAGTAAACATAGATCAGAGAGCAATAGAAACAATGAGGATGATGGCAAGACCCAAAAAACAATGGATGAATATTAGAGTACGACACCATAAAGTAATAAATTAATGAGCAGAAAAATAATTTTTGAATTCAACATTAAATGAACGAGTTTAAGAAGTGAATTATAAGTTTAAAGAGCAAGACCAGCACTTAAGAACATAATCCCTGCATAGGTGTAAGGTCAGTATTTAAGATCAAAATTCATATAAAATGTCAGCATTTAGCGACAAGAGTCTCACTGGTCTCGGCGGTCCCCACTGAGCGCCAATCTGAGGGCCTTGAACGACGACGCCGAAGTTTCCTCGTTAGAAAATTTGTGGTCATCACGGGACTCCGCGGCGCCGTTGCCTTCCGTCCGCAGGCCGGTGGGCGAGATCAATGAGGATGAAACAGAGGCACGAGCAGTGGTGCCGATGCTCGTGGAACCGAATCTGGAGCCTCCAGCTGAAGAGAAACCAAATCTCGTGGATCCAGAATCTCCAGAGGCAGATGAAACGAATCTACTAGAAGCAGATAACCCCGTAGAGGTCCGAGAAGAATCCTCAATGCTTGAGCTGCCATTTCTGCCTTCCCGCCAAGATGGAGAGGCTTCGCTGATCGTGGAACCTGCGGCCAAATGCTCGTATTTCTTAGGGTTGGAGGGCAGGGATAAGTTCCCCCTAAGAGGCGCTGAGCTCAAGCGGTCGTCCCTCAGTTCGTTCTTCTTCGTTAATGTTTCTTTGCCGACGGCCGTGCCACTGCGACTGCTGTCTCGAGACCCGCCCGAGAAAGAAGTGATGCTCAGGCGGTCCTCCCTGCAAAACTCAACAACTTTTACAAACAGAAGTATGAAGGCGTTTTAATTACAATTAAAATTATTGATTGAGGCGCATTCAAAGTAGTGAGTTCATAGAGGATCAATGCTTGAATATAAAATTACATTAGGTACATCAGTCTTGCTAAATTCAAAATGTCCGTGTAAGTGACAAATCTCATACAGTATAACACAACATTCATACTCGGTTACCAAAGAAACAAATTCCTTGTGAAGCATAAGCAGCAAAATACAAAACAAACGATGCGCAGCTTTGATGCAGCAAAAACAAAAGAAGCAACGCACGTTAGAGAAGTTCTGTCGGTTTTTGAAGTTTTATACATGGCAATAATATGGCTGAATTGTCATATAATTGCTACTTGAATATGTGTACAAAATAAGCATAAATGAGGGATTAATAAATTGTTTGCTGGAAATTAGAATGTCTGGCATGATAACCATGCACCGTCATCACCATAAGTAAGGAATAATAATATAGATAAATGTAGTTTTTAGTTGAATCCAAGCTTCCATAACTCCACCCCACCTGTTGGGGCTCCTTCTGGTGGGGGTCCAAGTGTGGGCTGGGGACTTGGGTGAAGGACTCCAGCGGTCCCTGGAGATGGGAGGACTGGGGGAGCGTCTCCAAAAGCGTTTATCATTTGACGAGTCTCCAGCCCCAAAGGGGGTTGGGGACAAAATATCCGAAGTCTCGGGCGAAGATGACAGAGTCTGTCTATGAAACCGCAAAGGAGCGGGGCTCGTAGGGGTAATAATCTTGAGCTTTGAGGGACGTTCTTCAGAATTAAGCAAAGTGTCAGACAGTTTTCTCGAGTTAGTTGAAAAAGTCCCAAGATTTCCTATGCCCATTCCAGCGGCTCCCAGGCCACTGCCTCGGTCGTTGTCGTCCTTGCATGTTCCTCCACCAAATGTTGGGCCAAGAAGTGCTTGCATTTGCATCTCCGCGGCCGAGTAAGGGTCGTAGAAATCTAAGCCAAGATCCTTCTTGCCAGAGTCATACTTGGACGACTGATACTTCGTCGAGTCATACTTGGACGAGTCGTATTTTGTCGTGTCATACTTCGCCGAGTCGTACTTGATCGCATCATACTTGTGGACGTCAAAATCCAAGTCAAACGATGAATCCAAATGAGACCTGATGAAAAAATAGGTGAACAAAAACGTTGCAAAATAAATAGCAGTTAGAGGATTGAAAGATCAGTTACATAATGGAATAGGAAAGCCGAACAAAAGCAAATGCCGAATTCTCTAAAAATTAAAAGGTGCCGAAAAACGCTGAGCCTGGTGAGAAATTAAGTAATTTGACTTGCTCTTATTTTAAAGTTTAGTGATAAAAAACTGCGTGAATAATTTATACGTTAAAAAGTACAAAGTACGTATACTGTGCATAAATCTAAAGCGGGACACGACGTATTTTGAAGCAAGTGCGGAGGCTGTGCTGAAAAATAAACTGGCGAGTAAAATAAAACGGCGAAGCTGAGCTGTATATTTGCAGTGACGGGAACCAAGGTAGAAAAAGTGAAGTTAGCGGACGTGCGTTCGATGTACGTAATGTATGTGTTGTACCTCTTCGGGTCGACCGAAGTCCCGTTATGTTTCTTCTTATTCTTGCTCATGGATTTCTTCAGCCTGTCCCGCTGCATAGATCGCGTAGATGAAGAAGATGATGAATTACTAGTGCTGCCAACCAGCGATTGAAGCACAGCGAAATTTTTACTGGAAATGAAAGCTGCGTTTTGTGGATGGTCTAGTTGACTGAATATTGGTGTGGTCCTTGCAACGGGGTCCAATCGTTTATCTGTAGGCTTTCGCCTCGCCGAACGTGGCACAACTCCAAACCCGTACATGGAAGACACGTTCATCAAGCTCTGCGCCTTGCGCAGGCTGTCTGAACAATACCCGGAGCTGTTGGGTGACCACGAGTCAGTATCATAAGAAGTTCGATGCTCAGGCCTAGTTTGCGAGTCTGGGCGAAGTCTTTGCGAATGCGAGAGGGATGTTTTAGCAACAAAATTTGGTCGGTATGAATGATCATTCACAACGGCAATGCGTCGTCGGCCATCGAGTTCTAGAGCTTCATCAACGCCTTCACGCCTTTTTCTCAGCATTTCGCGTACGCTTTCTCCCCGTGCGCTTTTCACGTTTGCAGGTCTGAAATTTACTCCTGGGGAAGTTATCCTAGCAGCATCAAATTCGCCTTCCTCGTCGTACTCCTCATTAGGCTTGACCCTTTTACTGCGGGTGCCAGCAGAGTTCAAGGAACCATCACTTCTTGACAATTCTTTACAAACATAACGTCCGTCTTCCCAACACTCATCCTCGAAATGAACGGACCTCGGTCGGCCGTAGGAACTACCCAAATTGTCGAAAACTTCATCGTCGCCGCTGATGGAGGTTGAGGATCGCAGGTAGTTCTCCTCATTTGGTATCTCGAGCTCAGCTTCACTCTCGTAGTTACAGTCTGATTCCTGGTCGTCGACTGTTGTCTCGACACAGTTCTCAGAAATTGTAACGGTCTGTTGAACATCAGGAAGATTGCCAGTCACATCTAGGGATAATCTTTTTTCTTCTTGGGATGGAATTTGATTTGCTTTTTCTTTCGAAATTTGAGGAGAACTGTTGCCGCTATCATTTCGACTACCCATCACGCCAGTAGACTCGGCAGCATCACTTGCAGAAAAACACTTTTTAATGTCATCAGTGTCAGAGCAATTATCTTTACCACCATGAACAATATGATTCGAGTCCTGTTGGTTGTTTTGCAGGTCGTGTCTATGAATAATGTTTTTACGATGCTTAGAGTTTACCGAAGAACTGATTCTGCGTTGAGCACCTTGTTTGCGGATGCCGGCTTGCTTAATGGGCACTTGAAGCTTCAATGGCTTTTCTCCACTAGCAGCGTTAGGACAGATTAAATAGTTAATGCTTGAAAATTTACACAAAAATAAAGTAAGATCAATACTCAGCTGCTGTCTTCGTAAGGTTCATTAACTGCCTAGAGTTAAAGGACGCTAAAAGTTTTTTCTCAGAATCTCCTGCCAAACTTAAACTTCGCTAACAAATGTTTTGTTTGCAGAAAAATGTGCCTCCTAAAACAAATACTAATAATAAAGAAAGAAAGGAATTGCCGTCATCCCCCGAGGTACGATGCTTAGGCGGTCAGTTAACGAATTGTTCAATTTAAATCTGAAACACTACGGGATTCGCGATTCGAGGTTTGAAATTTTCTTCAACAAGATAACTTCGTACCTTAAAGACATGACAGACGTAGGGATGAAGTCTCAAACTTATTGGATTTGTATCCTCTGCAAATTAACATAACAAAACTCCTACAAACAGGATATTGCACTAATAACAATGAATGGGTCATCTCGACCAAATTGTGACCCACTTTCTTACCCACAGCCCGAGCAGAGAGCAGACGTAGCACTGATATGCTCAAAGTGGGTGGGGATGAGTCACACAAGGCCAATAAGTGCATCACTATTTAGATAATGTCTCTCTAATTTATGTGAGTGTATGGACGCCACTCACTTGGAGAAGGGCGGCGGTGACAGCGTCGTCTCCCTGGACGTGAAGTCGTCAGCCTCGTCGCCTTCAGGCTCCCCGCGCGCGGGGGACGAGCTCAGGCACACGCTGTGGGTGTTGGCGGTGAAGATAATTCATTGAAGTTATTGGGGGTTAATTGTGTTATTAGGTTATAATTATTAACCCAATAATATATTAAATAAAATAATAAACATTTTAATTAATAATATAAGGGTTATTATTAAATTATTACGTAAGGTGTTACCGTTTTCACGAGATGGTAGAGGGTTATTATTATGATAAGGTATTACACTTGAACTAAAACACAGATCATGTGTTATGATTTGTAATATGAAATTTCCATCGAGATAAAGGAACTGAGTTCAAGTATGGATAAAATGTAAAACATGAACGTACCATGGAACCAATGTAGGTATAGTAAAGGGGCGCACAATACCTGACAATAGGTATGCAATACCTGACAATAATAACAGCAATACCTGACAATAATAACTAATAATAACAATAATTATAACTAATACAATAAGCACACAATAACGCACCTGGCAAGCATGTCAGAGGCAAGGTCGCGCCGGCGCGCCTTACGCTCCCCTGACGCGCGTCTGGAGGAGGCGACGCGCAGGGACGCGGAGCGTACGAACGGCTGACCCGCGGCCGAGCCTGAGAACGACCCTGAGCGAGTCAGGCTCGGCGTCTGCGATCCTGCACTCACAGAAATAAATCGGTCATGTTGTCCATAATGTGAGTCAGTTTCTAACCCATGGCACGAGCGAAGAGAGGACGTAGAACTGATACAACCTTTTGCGGGAACAAACTGGATCAGGATGACCCAGTTTGATCTCGTTCATTTATCTGAGTGTGCAATACCTATCTTAGTTGAGGCAAGATCACTTCACAGACACGTCGAGAAAAAAACATGTCTTTGTGTTTTCGATTTGGAAATGAAATATTAAAACTCTATAGTGATATTGATACACTTATTTATTCGGCAACAAAATATTTCATTTTAATAATATAGGACAAAAGCCTCTGATTTCGTGCCAGGCCGAAAGAATTTCGCAAAGTCTTATCGGCCATTTTAATGTTTCTTGACCTGAAGGCATATGGTTAATTTATCAGTTTTGGATAACAAAAAATTACGGTTTAATAATGAAACTTATATTGGACTTTTTCCTGAACCCAAAGCAAAAACTTAACTTTTTCGGTTGGCGAAAAAAGTGTTTGAAATTTGTCTGCAACGTAGGTTGCAGTGATATTTTCACACTAAATGCTTATAAACAGAAGCAATAGCCGGGAAGTACCAGTGACGCCGTAGGCGCTGTAGCAGGAGGGTGTGGCGTAGCCGCTCTGTGAGCCGCCCACGCTGTGACGCTGTCCATACGGACTCGAGTAGCTTCCTCCAACTGCCCGCACAAGTCAGCATATTTGCGTGGAGTTTTCAATAGATATACATTAATATGCTCACATGAATATTTTATACACGAGTCGTTAAACTTCTAAATTGTTCTAACAGTTCTAAATTGTTTCCAAGCCATAATAGTGTCAAAGCTACCACGTTCATCCCTAATGTATTTCAAAATTTCCTATAATACGATTAAAATTTCTGCTCTAGAAGCACTTTCAAATCTACTGCATTGCAAACGTGTTCCTTGTATTCAAAAGAGAGCTCTAAATATTTCGCTAGCCTTAGCCTCATCGGTTCTCAACAGAGCTTTGAATATGTTCAAGTCATAATTGATTCAACTATATCCTAATCATCGGTTCTCAGCAGGGCTCTTGACGTAGAACTGGTACAACCTTTTGCCGGAACAAACTGGGTCAGGATGACCCAGTTTGATCTCGCTCATTTCTCTGTGTGTAATACCTATTTTAGTTGAAGAAAGATCATTTCACAGACACGTCGAGAAAAAACATGCCTTGGTGTCTTCGATTTAGAAATGAAATATTAAAACTCTATAGTGATACTGATACATTTGTTTATTCAGCAACACAATATTTCATCTTAATAATATAGGACAAAAGCCTCTGATTTCGTGCCAGGCCTAGAAAATTTCGCAAAGTCTTATCGGCCATTTTAATGTTTCTTGACCTGAAGGCATATGGTTAATTTATCAGTTTTGGATAACAAAAAATTACGGTTTAATAATGAAACTTATATTGGACTTTTTCCTGAACCCAAAGCAAAAACTTAACTTTTTCGGTTGGCGAAAAAAGTGTTTGAAATTTGTCTGCAACGTAGGTTGCAGTGATATTTTCACACTAAATGCTTATAAAAACAGAAGCGATTGCCGGGAAGTACCAGTGACGCCGTAGGCGCTGTAGCAGGAGGGTGTGGCGTAGCCGCTCTGTGAGCCGCCCACGCTGTGACGCTGTCCGTACGGACTCGAGTAGCTTCCTCCAACTGCCCGCACAAGTCAGCATATTTGCGTGGAGTTTTCAATAGATATACATTAATATGCTCACATGAATATTTTATACACGAGTCGTTAAACTTCTAAATTGTTCTAACAGTTCTAAATTGTTTCCAAGCCATAATAGTGTCAAAGCTACCACGTTCATCCCTAATGTATTTCAAAATTTCCTATAATACGATTAAAATTTCTGCTCTAGAAGCGCTTTCAAATCTACTGCATTGCAAACGTGTTCCTTGTATTCAAAAGAGAGCTCTAAATATTTCGCTAGCCTTAGCCTCATCGGTTCTCAACAGAGCTTTGAATATGTTCAAGTCATAATTGATTCAACTATATCCTAATCATCGGTTCTCAGCAGGGCTCTATACTTATCTGAGTCCTAATCGGTTCTCATATATCCTTATCATCGTTCAACAGATCTCTAAATACTGTATATCCAAGTTCTAATTGGTTTTCCTATATCCTAACCCTCAGTTCTCAGCCTCTGTATAACCACCATGTTTTTTAGATTCATTTTATGATTCCCCAGCCATTTATTGTGATTTTAGATTCAGCAGCCATTTATTATGATTTTAGATTCAGCAGCCATTTATTATCATTTTAGATTCAGCCGCCATTTATTATGATTTTAGATTCAGCAGCCATTTATTATGACTTTAGATTCAGCAGCCATTTATTATGAGTTTAGATTCAGCAGCCATTTATTATGATTTTATGATTCCCCAGCCATTTATTATGATTTTAGATTCAGCAGCCATTTATTATGATTTTAGATTCAGCAGCCATTTATTATGATTTTAGATTCAGCAGCCATTTATTATGATTTTAGATTCAGCCGCCACTGACCGGCCTGAAGGATCGATGAGAAGCTACGAGCGGCGGAGCGTCCCAGCGACGCTGTGCTGTGCTGCCGCGACAGTGGTGCTGGGGATGTACCTCTGCGCTGCAGTGATGGGGATGTCGTAACTCCCCTACGGCTGGGGATCAGGGGAGGAGGACTGATCTTGCGATCAGACGTGGATGGCGGGGGAATGGAAGAGATGACGTCTGTTTTCTTGGGGGCGCGCCACCCGCTCTGTCCCGGCTTGGGGGGCACATACTGAGGACAAATAAAGGTGTTAGAGCGAGCGGAAATTAAGGAACTTAACCGAGGCATACTTATCATGTATCGCAAATCCGAGTGTATAAGAAAGTATGATGAAATTAAATTATCTTTGCATACCCTTAAGAAATGTTGATATTAATATAAGTGATGACGTAAATCTGTAATGTATCTGTCAGAAATGGACCAGAAACGGGAAAACTACTTGTAAATTACTAATAAATTGTTAAAGCTGTAATAAAAGGAAAATGCCTTAAAAAATTTTATCGTTGATTTTCACAAAAAATTAAAATTAAAGTCTAGTGATGAAAAAAAACACTTGGACGCGGAATATAGCGCACCAACTGGCAGCTTCAAACTTCAATATGTAATACGTTGACTGAATTATAACGCTTTTAGCGTTGAACGCGTTCATGTTGACTGAATCACGCCTTTTGTTCAATCTCTGACGAAGAATGGAAGCCTATAAGCGGCTTCCGGCGACAAAAAATCTCGAGGATGGCGTAAAAAGTCAGTTAAGCCAACAACAAAATAGTGAGCGAGCAGAACGTGAACAAAATTGTGTTGTTCACAATAGTTTATTTGCACTTGGGTGAGGTATTTGTGGAAGAGCCTACACATTTTTCATGCTGAAACTGACCATTTCCAAAAATATTCGTCCAATTCTTCATTCACTTTTCAACTAATTCTTCATTCAACTAAGCCAAGATATGATCAACGCGATTACTGAGCAGGGAGAACGATGGTTGGAATCAAAATTCATTTTTAATTTTTGATTAGTAGATTTCTGTGAGAAAATTTCCTTTAATTTTCGAAACGGGAGTTAAACGGGAATTAGATTTTGAATGTAGGGTCAAATATTTGTCTTTCTCATTTCATCATTTATTTGGTCTGAAAATTGTCAATAGGATTCGATTTGATGGGATTCAAGATGATAGGATTATGAAAGATAGAACTCGTACTGATTTTATTTGGAATACATATGAATATTCATCAAGTTAAGGTCGGAGACCAGTATAAATAATAAACAGTATAATAAAGATACAACAACCACGATAAATTGTAGTCGTCAAGTGTCCGCGGTAGAGAACCTGTTAAATGAGAGCGACAACCCACGCAACTCCTACACGCCCTATGGCTGAACTGCAGCTGCATGAGGTTAGAATGCCAAGGTATCCCTGCCACTTCTATTTGAAGGATTCCGGGTTTCTTGATAGGTTTGGCTGTTCCTGTGTCTTGTATACGGCGGCTTCATGGTCATGGCAGAACACTCTGGCTTTTTAGCGCATTTTCTCATTTATGGAAAAAAATGCACTATTGTGCTCGCCATGTCCGTCTGTCTGTCTGTCCGTCCGTCTGTCCGTGACCTCAAGTTTTCGTCGACGAGAAAATGCGCTCTCTGTCACTCACTGCTGTGAGTACTGAGTTATATTTTTTATGCATGGGTTAGAGCCCCGTCTAGGCGCGAGTAGTGGATCTCTGCATGCAATGGCTGTTTACATTTCTTTAAAATTTTCTGTCTTGCTGGAACTATTATTTTGTGTGAGCAGACTTGTGTTAAAGTCTCCACATATGGCAATCTCTGATTAAGGGTTTAAATAAACATAAATAACTCAAATTGTACAATTGCTTCATTCTACCTACATGGTAAAAGCTAACATCACGCTAAGGGATTTTAGTTGTCGAGACCTAAAGAGCTGAACTGCGTTGTCACTTAAATTTAGCTACGCCACGACAGAAACCCTGCAGTAAAATCTGACTTAAGCATCGATTACCGTTGGACGTTTACTATGTTCGAGGTATGGATCATGAATGCCTGACTCGCTATCGCACATTGATTCGTTGTCCAGACAGGCGGCACAGTTCGTTCAAAATCCTTATTTGTTAGTTTTTACATCAAGACTCCATAAAGATTAAAATGTCAAGATGCCATAAAATATCATAGTAAGAAACTACGTCTACAAATATGGAGTCAAGATTTAGGAAGCTTTGGGAAAAAATAATCAATTATTACAAAGGATCAACCCTAGCATATAAATTCAACAGCATTTGATCTCCACGTAGTTTCAATTAGAAGAACAAGCTCAAACCATAAATATATTAAATATAGTATGCTCATGTTTAAAGATGGCGCTCGCTACTAGAAATCGATCGATAAATGTTCGCAAACAAATTTGATCCCAGTTTAAAAACTATGTAACTCAGACAGAGTGCATGTTCAAGTGACAACGTCTGTGCTGCGCACGCATCTGCATAATTTCCTGATAAAAACATTGCGCAGAAAAAAAGAGGCGAGAAGAACAGCTCAGAGTACAGATGGCAGGGCTGCATTTAAGGGCGCTCTGAAGGTAATGCAACATAATGACCTCTTTGTTAGAGTGCACTGCTGCAGCTGCACTACACGGGTGCAGTGCTGAGCACCTCTGCACCGCAGCAGCACTGGCTTGANTAATGCAACATAATGACCTCTTTGTTAGAGTGCACTGCTGCAGCTGCACTACACGGGTGCAGTGCTGAGCACCTCTGCACTGCAGCAGCACTGGCTTGACCCAGCAAATCTGCACTGCTGTTATGTCGCTGAGATCGTTTGAGATTTTATGATTTGTTCATGATTGAACAATCATTTGTGCAACCAATAAAACAAGATTATAAATAAAAAAAGTAGGGCCATACAATTTTATCGAGTGATGTGCTCATAACAAATGTAATTGTCCAGTGAAAGAGATCGAACTAAACATTAGGCTTAGCTCGTCTACATTTATAAGCTGATTTCTCAATCCTGCGTAGATACCCAGATAATGTGATGCATAATTTACTAAGTAGGTAACTATGTCAATTAAAAGTGCCTAAGCAATATGTTCACCCTACTCCAAACAACATTTAACAACAATGGAACACACAACATTATGGAGCAATGGCATTAGGCAACATTCCACCATTTACGAGTTTGTTTTCCCAAATGTAAGAATAACTCGTTGCAGAATCTCTTCAAACGGTAAGGGCGAGAATCTGCAAAGCGCTTCCACTGGACAACAAGTTTAGTGTTACTTTGACCTCTGCATATAAATTTAACATCATTTGATCTCTGCGTAGTTTCGAAGTCCATGTTTAAGGTAAACACGGAGCGATGCCAACAGATTTCATGAACAAAGTCACTTAAAGTTTTGTGTCCAAACTAGTCACAGGATTAAGTGGGAAATTCATACAAGGCAAAAGCTGGAGGATAAGCGCTTGTGGCTGAGCTGCGCACAATGTGAGCGCAACTGCATTTGCGCCGGGCAGAATGTGGCCGCGAAAGGCAGCGAAGTTATCCATATAAGAGGCCTTGCTATCAGCAGCAGGGCTTGTTTACGGCCGAGAGGCTCGTGGCTGCTTGCAAAGCAGGATATTAGAAACGCTATTAGAAATCAGGGTCGTCATGGCCATAGACTGACTGTATTTATCACATTAAACAGCTCTCTATAATCAAAAAAATTGGATCTAAAAATAAAATTTGATTTTGACTAACACTTTGGCAGTGAATTGTTTAAGAATGCTTTATAATGGTACAAACAATAGTATTTTGAAATTTCCGTAAGTTAATTGAATTTGGCACATGTTGTTAGTAAAACTCGATTGATCTTACTCTAACTGGAAAATGTTTATACGGAATCATGCAGCCGTGACTTGCCCTTATTTGCACACAGCGGGGTAGTGCAATGAATGGGTCATGTTGTCCAAACAGTGACGCACTTCCAGCACATACCAATGATACGCCTTTTGCCGGGCCAAACTGGGTCAGAATGCCCCATACAAGATCAAAGAGTGAATCACTTCTTGGAAAAAGTCTCACTAATTTTTTTAAGTGTTATTAGTGTTATTGTCGACATTTTCTTCGGCGGCACGCGAGTGGACGACGCCGGTGAGCAGCGACAGTTTCGCGTGCAGTTTAGAGCAGCAAATACTTGTTGCCAGGCTGTAGGGTCGATGTTCTGAAGTGTGGGAGTGCGTGTCAGGGCATTTGTGCCTCTGCTTGGTGTTGGAGGGGCGCCGTGCCCCGTATTAATGCAGATAGCCGCCTCTTTTGGCCGGTGCTGGTGGTGCTACAGCTTTGCTACGAGCACTCCATGCTCCACGAGGTCTATAAATGTGCGTTTAGCTGCAACTAATTCTCGCGTTTTCAAATTTTACAGGCAATTATTTATATTTTGCGATGGGCTACTCTAAGTTGCGTATATGATCGCAACGTAGACTTTCCAATATGTAACGTAATCTTCATCAGCTGGCCACATCAGGTTGCAACTGATTATCCTTTAGTTTCTATCTGTGCGTGTCTTCACCAGCAGTTACTGTCATTCAGGCTAGCTGCTGCCGATCATCATTTCGTTACAAAAATGCTAGCTGATTCTTGATGAATAACTTTTCAAGATAACTGAAAATCATCATTAGACTTCATCTTTATCTATGTACAGGAAAAGGTCGTCCATTTATTCCTCGAATGTCGGCACTGAACCGAAAGTTTCACCAACTACGTCGTAAATAAGGCTTTCAGCACGCGACCGATGTTGTGGGCTGGTTGAGGCATCAAGTGCCCGGAAGGAGCTAACGGCAGAGCACAACCGCGAACTACAATCATCATTTGTCGGCGAGCAAATAAATTGCAATTCGATGCGGACGCCATAGATGTCTTCAACCAACGACTTACTTGAACATTCGGCACTAAGTCATACTGCTGAAAATTAAAAATTATGATGTTGCTTTGTAATTCTTCACGTATAATACTTTCTATAGAGTAAATACAACTTTGATGCAATGAAAAGCAATTGTGAACATCATTCCTCGCTATCCCAGAATCTTAATGAGACTATCGTAAGAGCTATTAAGTTGTCATACGTCTACGTTCTGACTCAAGACGACAAGACGTCAAAATTTGTCATCAAATGAAGCTCATCAAGTGCGGAGCACAATCAATCTGTTAATTGTCCAAATTAATCGAAATTAATTATAAATGAATCCAAATTAAATTAAATTAGTAAAAATTAATCTGTTAAGATCCTGCGCCCAGCTACGGGCTTGTATAGAGAGCAGCAGCTATCGTCATGACCTCATATGATAAACATTCTGCCCTTGAGCCCAAAAATTCTCATAGTCTAATTCCAGATGATTCATCCATCAGAGGTTTCAGTGTGGTCCTTTCAGACGGATTGATCGCTTACCTATTGAGATGTGCATTTAATCGGTCAATAAGAAAATTACAAGTTCAATTTCCGTAACTTGGATTTGGCTGATATGAGAATTTTAGTGATGATTGTGCCCCATTATAACGACACGCGGCCTAATACCCATGACAGTGACCAGCATACACGGCCCCTCGCTAATGCCGTGGTCGTCTCAGGTCACCGGACACGAAGGTTGCGGTCAGCGCGCATAGTCAGCGTTCCTGGCGATGGTCAGCGCTACGCAGGCGTGACGAGTCTTCCGATAGATGCGTAAAAAATGACAATTATCAATGGCTTCCGTTACAGTGAAATAGTGAGCTGATTTATAAGGAAACGTTTCAGAACGACGCACGGAAAGCTCAGTCGTGTAACTTAGATCTAGTCCAAAAAATGCTGAGTGCTCTAATACGCTTTATTGAAACATCACTTTGTCCAGATCAAGAGATAGCGAAATGATCTGTAAATTATGCTTCGATAACGTTTGAATTAACTCGAGTATCAAAACCAATTATGCAAAGTTTAGAATTGATAGTTCAGGAAAATTAATTAGCCGCCGGGCGAAACGAGGGTGGATGCCTTCGAAGGTCAACATCAAAATGATTTACAGCAGAAAAGAGAACAACTGCATCCATCTTTAGGGACAATAGAATGAATAGTTTTAAAAGGAGTCGCATCAGCAGTAAAACTTTCTTTAAAGGAAGTTTGGATGACAAGACAATTTGCCAGACGTTACTGCTGGGTGCGGCAGTAACTGAATTTAAATTTTGGTAAGCAACGTAGGTATTATTCTGGGCGGTCATCTTGGAGGTGTCGATTCGTGTTCAGCGCCCCAACACAACAGCCTATGATGTTTCTCTATGCAATTTGGCTTTGGCTATGTCAAAATTTGTTATCGTTATTGTAACGGCGTTTGTTTATCTGAGATAAACAACGCAATGATCTGCACGAAACAATTACGATCGGTACTTTAGTTCACGCCTCGAGACAATAACCGATGCAGTACGCAATACACCATACAGAGCAGCACACAATGCCTTCTGCACGTAGTCTGATGGCACTAGAGAGGTGGGTGCTCCTGCGTCTGCGTCGCCTACAGCAGGGAATGCCAGGAAAACATTAGGAAATGGGCAATGACAGAAGAAACAGTAAGAAATATCAATAAAAGAGTAGGGAATGTCAGTAAAACAGAAGTGAATGTAAGTAAAACAAAAGGGAATGCAAGAAAAAAAGGAAATGACAGAAAAAAAACAATACGGAATGTAGGATGACTGTATGAAATGCCAGTAAAACAATAGGATGTTCCAAAAGAAGGAAATGTTATGAAACATCATGAAGTGCTATAAATAAAAACAGGGAATGCCAGGAAAAAAACAGTAGGAATGACCAGTAAAACAGTACCTACGTAATATCAGTAAACCTATCCAACTATATTTACTTGCGCAACATTAAAGGAATAAGTATTATTAAGAAGACGAACCAAAATGGTCAGATATACAGTAAATGTTTTCTAATAAGCACCTTCTCACGACGGCAGGCATGTACTAGAATAATCTCAGACTCATAAGCTTCCTCCTCGCCCGACAAATTCGCAATTCATGGATGAATTTTACAGTAAAAAAAACTCTCAGTTATAAAAGAAAGTGACCTGAATTTACCACAACTCTGCCGAAAAATGAATGGCTCATATTGCTCAAATAGTGACGCACTTTCTTGCCCACAGCACGAGAAGACAACGAACGAAGCCCTTTTGCTGGTCCAAACTGGGTCGAGTATGACCCACGCAAACGCATAAAATGCATCGCTATTTGGACAAAGTCTCACGCATTTCTCTGAGAGACAGGATCCTAGCAAGTCTCACCCTCAGGGGCGCCCCTAGCAGCTCTAATGGTGCGCAGGAACTCCTGATGTTTCTCCCTCCAGCGGGAGCTCTTCTTGTTGGAGGGGGTGGGGGCTGCCCCAGGTAACCCCCGCTCGGGGGTCGTGGCTCGCCCACTTGAGGGGGACAAGGGGTCCTCGGGCTCAAACTTCTGCGTGTGGGCGTTGAATATCTTGTGCAAGAGCGTAATATTTATATTATTAATAAATGCATTAAATAGGTAAAATACATAGTATTAGTATTGTTTGTAGTATTGTAGTATTAGTATTGTAGTATTGTATTGTTGTAAATGTAGTATTAGATACATAGTATTAAATAATAACTAATATTTAATACTATGTATTCAATACTACATTGTAACAAATATATACAAATGCTATTATTAAATACTATTTACAGTAATACATATTGATTACTGCAAAAACTATCGTGGCGAGGACGAAGAAAAGAGATTATGTAATATACGCGCCATTGTTTGTAGCATACTAGCATAAACACAGAAAATTATTGAAACAAAACATTAAATTTTGAAAAATGCTAATTTGTTTAAGATATTTTGTTGAACCTTATAGATATATTAATATGTATATTGTATATGTTCCAAGTATATGACACAATCAATCATTTGCAATACAATTGAATATGAGGCCAATATTTATAGGAAACAGAATGCTCCTTTCATGCCATAATATGGCCACCATATTTATGATATCATTACAATCAAATACAAAAAATTAAATAAAGTAACGACAAAGGAAGTTCAGTCACCTGCTTCTTCTTGTTGGTCTTGGCCATCTTCTGGCAGACCTTCCTATGGCGGTCGAGGGCCGCCGGGTTGAAGGTTCGGGAGCAGGACACGCACGGCAGCAGCGTGGGGGGCGACGTGTCTTCGGGGTACTCTGCACCAGTACCGTGGTTGAGGGATATTATTAGTTGAAGCATACTGTAATTATTGGGGTATATTAGTTCAAGTATACGACAATTGAAGAATTTCATTAGTTGAAGCATACGGCAATTAATGGGGTCTATTAGTCATATTATACGACTGTTGAAGAATTTTATTAGTTAAGGTATACGGCAGTTGAGGGATTTTATTAGCTAGAGTGTACGGCAGTTAACGGGCTTTATTTGTTTAATTATACGACAGTTGAGGGATTCTATTAGTTAGATTATACGCAGTTAACAGGCTATATTTGTTAAAATTATACGGCAATTGAGGGATATTATTAGTTGAAGTATACGGCCGTCAACGGGCTTCATTTGTTTAATTATAAGGCAGTTGAAGGATTTTATTAGTTGAAGCATACTGCAGTTAACCGCGTTATTCGATAAAGCATACGGCATTCGAAGAATTTCTGTCTGAGAAGTAACCATTCATGTTATCTCTAATGTTTTTAGTGGTCGTTATCAGAGGTGATGTTTTCCAATCATACGGCAGTTAATGGAATCTGTTCCTCATAGCATATACGTCATTTGAGGGATTCCTGTTTAAAAGATGCATGGCCACTTTTGTTATAAAGCTTTATGCTTACGCTGCACATTAATCTATAAGAGCGATATAGTCAAATAATATGACAGTCAAGGGGTTTTGGTTTAGCCGGTAACCACTCTTGTTATTGCGCTTAATGTTCACATTCGTTGGCAGGAAATATCTGTTCGAATTATACTGTAGTGTAAAAATTTTTGTTTCAAAGAATAAACCTATACTTCTTGCATTGCCTATTCCCCATTCAAATTATAAGATGAATGTTATCTAATATATGGTTCGTGAGGAATTTAGCAGGAATGTATGGCCGCTGTTGTTCATGGACTCAGGTTCTTAGAAGTCGTTATCGGGTGAAAGATAAAGAAAGAATTTGGTGGTTAGTAGATTCTTGTTCTGAAACCATAATCGTAATATTTGTATGGAAAATATTATTGCGTATGCAACAGTGATGCATATAATCATGTTTGAACTAATACAAATATAATAAATTTTACGTTAAAGTAAGCAAGATGACTTTTTTATCACAGAGAAACGAAAGCCATCACATCATTCATACTAAAAATTTTTATCAAGATTTTACGACATTTTATTTCCAACTCATTCGTCACTTAGCGCTTCACAATGATAATGGATATTATTTTTTCTAGCTTCAAGGTAAATCAGAAGCAACGCAATTGATGCACTCAAACAGCTAACTTTCTTTTGATTTAAACGGATTAATGTTTGCATGAACATTAAAATTTAGAGAGAACAACTAACCTGGTGGTAGCTCTGCCCTCAGAGCGCTGAGTTCCGTGATGGAGATATCCTCGAGCGTCCTTCTCCGCTGGGGAGGATCATGGTCAGGAGCCTCCGCCCCATCCAGGGTATCCTCCCGCACCTTCAGGTTACTCATGCCTCTGATCGGTCGTTCGTCATCCTCAGGTGTCCTATTATCCTCTTCCTCATCCTCCTCCTTAATTGGCTTCTCTTGCATAAACGAAGAACTCATTCGTCCCGCCATTGATGATTTTCTTCGGACGTGGTCTTCGCTAGAGGTGCAGAGTTCAGCTTCACGTTCAGTTTGAGTTTCCGAATGTTCTTGGGCTCGCGTCAGACGCTCTTGCAAGCTGCGGGAATGATGGTTCGTTAATTTTTCAACGCTGTGTTTCCGGTCTTTTGACTTCTTGCTTTTAGATTTTTTCCGCTGCGTGCTGGAATCCAAGCCTTGATGATGATTTCTTTGATTCTTGCTCACGATGTCACGCTCGTTGTCTGAGTCATCCCCTTCCTGGAAAGTTTGAGTTGCGGTGTTCGTCACGGTGGAATTTTTCCGACGTGTCTTAGACGATTTGCTTTCTGATGAGGATTTGCGTACTGGGGATTTCTTGCGACTTGAGGATTTTTTGCGGGCTGAGGAGTGAACTTGGTGTCGCCGGTTACAAACTAACAGTCTCGCGGCAGGACAAAGTTGTTCTTCATCCACGGAAGAAGCTTCTGATGACGAGCAACTTTGCTGGTAGTTTGGCTTCGCATCGCTGGAACTACTGGATGAGCTGTCATCACTATTGCTGGAATCACTTTCCTCTTCCTCAGTTTCTTCGTCTTCTTCGTCAGACGAAATATATTTTTTACTCTTTCTTTCTTCCATTACTAAGCTTTAAACTCGAACGAAAACTAAACAACTGAAAAAAAATATCAAACAATAAACAAAGGTGAAACTCTCATGCGCTCGTTGTTCTTAAGAAAAGTTTACAAAACATCACAGACGTAATGGCCTACTGCTCGAAACATCACAACGTCACGTATGCGCATGCGTGATAGTTCACAACGCAGGCGCAAACGTTTTCATGATTTTTTACGCAATCTAAACTTATGAGAAAATCTCGTCATATGTTACAGACTTTTGTAGGAGACAAATGTCAACGGTATAGAACTAAACAACCATATATTTCTTTTCTCCTGTGAGTGCTGGAATGGAGTAATAACCTGAAATGAGCATATTCAAAACAAGATTAGCAATTAAAGACGGCGACTCCATTTAAAAAATCTATTAAAAATTTCCTCAAATCGAATCAGTCATAACAAACCTAACGGAACTATTAACTGTAAGGAAAAATTAATAAGGGAGAGCATCGTATGATTGTAGTATGAAAGGTAAACAAATCGGTCACGCTCAAAAGACATGGCAAACCTCGAAAAGTGTAGACTAATTTTTCTCGAAAGCAACTTGTGCAAAACCGACCGCGACGATTCTATATGATAAACGGAACAATTGTCTTGCATAAAAAAATAAATCGCCTCATATGGCTTAGACCATAATTATTTTATTGCATTAGAAATTTTGTTCCGTTTATTAGAAATCCCAATCTGTTTTAATTTAACGGAGACCATAAAGACTAAGTTAGATTGGTTATTGATTTCGAGACAAAACATGAAGCATCAAGGCAATTATTATTGCCTTAGAAACGCTAGAGTTTCTCAGGACCGCGTCTGGCAGCGACCGCAGGAGCCCTTCAGTCCTGCACTTGAAACGCTTGTCATTTCCACGGAAAATTCCGACGTACGTGAGCGAGTGCTCCGAAGAACGTGAGCGAGTGTTCCGACGTACGTGAGCGAGTGCTCCGAAGAACGTGAGCGAGTGTTCCGACGTACGTTTTCCGACGAACGCGAGCGAATTTTCCGAAGAACGTAATGCGAGTTTTTCAACCAACGTAATGCGAGTGTTCCGACGAACGTAATGCGAGTTTTCCAACCAACGTAATGCGAGTGTTCCGACGAACGTAATGCGAGTTTTCCGACGAACGTAATGCGAGTGTTCCGACGATCGTAATGCTACCTAATATAGCTTCGTCTATAGTCAGTTCGTGAAGGCGTTCATACTCGGAGCGTCAACGATGCTATCAGGAAGGCTGTTCCACATGTCGGTGACGAATAGTAAATCAAGATAGCGAGAGTTGACCTTACACATGATCATCCCGGCATAAAATAATGAAATTACGACACATGACTCTGAGAAGCTACAGTCCGCAGCTTCTCAGGCATCTCGTAAAAAATTGTTATGGAAAATTTCTCTCTTCAATTAAGCATAGGTTATGACTTTTCATGTACAAGATTTCACATCGATACTTTATAACAACACTTCTCTTTAACTTCACTTCTTGTCTGTTTGTTTGTCTGTCTGCTACAAATCTTGTAATCGAAATTTAATACACTTTTACTTATCCTATCGATCTGAAATTTTGCATACTTGTGTAAAGTTGGAGACAATGCATGATTCAAATGTCTAAATAAATGATTTTATAAATTAAAAACAATTTTTTTCTATATTAAAAAAATTGAGAAAATAATTTTGTCAGCTAACTGATATTTGACACACTTAGTCAGTAACTGATATTTGACACACTTTTACCTGTCTAATTGATCTGAAATTTTGCACACTTGTGTAAAGTCAGAGGTAATGAATGAATCAATTAATAGAATAAATAATTTGGAACAAAAATTATATATTAAAAAAATTGAGAAATTAATTTTTTTAATATTCGAAAATTAAATGAGAAATTCATTGTACATCTGCAAGATTGGAGACACTGGATTCTTTGGAAGTGTTCTCTTTAAAAAGTAATTTTTAAACGTATACTATTATTATTTACCAACTTAAAGATAAGGCGCAAATACTATCGACGATATTAATAAAAAAATTATCGAACAATCATTAAAGACTCACCATAGCCTTTGTTTACAGTCACAAGTGCTAAGCTTACACTTTAGTTAATCTGTTAAATGATAAGACTAAAGAAGCCGACTAATTACATCAGTCATACCGCTGCATTCTTATATAACACGTACATCACCTTGAACACAATTGATACCAGGAATTCAATTCATGCTCCTAGTCAGGCTGTTATACATAAAAAATAAAATGCTTGGCAAGAGAAATCAAAGACAAAGAAAGAAAAGGGGCCAGAATATGTTGCTTGAAATAATGCACTACCTTACTGACAATTAAAGCGGTTCATTCGGTCACATGTGACCACGTGGGCTTTCAAGAAAGTAAATCAAGATGCAGTTGACGGATCACTGACTTCCATTCGCAGTGAAGCAATCATTTGAGAAACAATCATCAGGAACGAGCCCGAGGCAATCCATCTCCACGCAATCGCAAAAAAGGTGAAACCGACAAAAACCAAGTCTGGACAACGCCCTGATTACGTTACAAGCTGCACGCGAGCTTCTGCTCTCGAGAAATGTGAGCCTCTAACTGTATATCATTGAGGGAATTAAATCAAGTATGCAGTGAGGGAAACTGATATCTTATCTTAGTAACTTGTGAACTATTCCGTGTTTATGCGTAGGCTCAGTTACATTTTGCAGTGAAAAACAGGTAAAAGAATTAACTGCTTTGTGTATAATCGGTTAGCCTGAACCTCTACCTGAAATTAGGCTAATTAAATTTCAATCACTTAATTAATAAGTTTAATGTCATATTCAAACAGAAAGAAATAAATTTTTACGATGTAATTTTAGATACTAAATAAAATATAAAAATCAGTTGTGATAAATACAGTCATTCTCAATTGTCCCTCATACTTGAGGACTTCAGAAAATTTTTCGGCAGTTTTACCGCCAGGAATTCACGTTTAATCCCGACAAGCGTGACAGGAGTAAACATTTTCGGAGGCACGAATACAAAAGATGCATTTAGAGCGCCTCATAATTAATGGTTGCTATTCAACCCTAGAATTTCATGAAGCAAAAAAACAGTCTTAAAATGCCCAGCAAAGTACGGATCAGGCAATAAGTCCAGCAGCTATCTCAATCAATCCTCAGCTATGGAAAGATCGGGTTCCAAAGGCCGGATCCCTTGTGAATCAAGTCACGAAAAATTCAAGAATCGGCAACAGGCCATGGGCCTATTTCTTCAGTGCCGACACTTCTATTCTATTCTCTTCTATTCTAAGCAAAGAAATAAAGCTTAGCTTCACCAGCTCAGACACGCGGCCCTCCTACGCCGGCGAAAATCGGTTGCACGCCCTGGAGCTGTGACCACACTCCTCCATACACACCTACACACTGTGTGGTGTTATACATGTACACTTCTACACACCTACACATTGTGTGATGTATACACGTACTCCTCTACACACCTACACATTGTGTGATGTATACACGTACTCCTCCATACACACCTACACATTGTGTGGTGTGTATACGTACTCCTCTACACGCCTACACATTGTGTGATGTGTATACACGTACTCCTCTACACACACCCACACATTGTGTGGTGTGTACACGTACTCATCTACACACCCACACATTGTGTCGAGTATACACGTACTCCTCTACACACCAACACATGTGCTCTATACATGTACATTATGCCAATGTGAGCTACAAATGCACATTTTATTCTATACTCAGAATGAAGTCTTCGCTTAAAGCCTTCAGCGCCCACCAATAAGTGAGACATTCCGAATAATCTGTTCTAATTGCATTCAATCACCATCACTTTTGACTACCCTGATGAACTCTTAAAATTACCACGTTAAACAAACTTAAACTTTTACCATTTTTTACTCTAATAATTTTTAACCGTTTTCCTTACAGGGAATTGAGGTTAAAAAGCTTCACCTGGAGGAACAGACATATGGCGGAAATACCGGAGATGCTCCCACAGGAGATCTTATTTATCACTTGATTTAACTCGTAATCTGGTATGCAAGCAAGCTACGAACATGTAAAACATGTGCATTATTTAGTCATATAGAATAATTCGCGGATTTTTAGCGATACGCAGGTTTCCGAAAAAGTCTATGGGCAGATTCAAATAGCTCTCGGAACTCGATCGGCAGTAAGAGTGTGGGAAGAGTATATTAACTATTAAAACAATGAAAACTCAGCAAATAATAACAATATAAATATTTTAATAAGTATTATTAGTCGATCAATTCCCCATCGCGGATTTCACCAATCGCGGCCGAGGGCTGGAACGTGGATTATAATATGAGAACTGAAGGATTATAATATTATAATATTTTTGAGGTGAACTTTAAATCCTGGCTTGCATTGGAATGTGGTGTGCATGGCTTGACATGCAATGATATCGAGAGCGTTGAAGCTGGAATCGCTCACATAAGGTTTTTGTATGATTATAAAATTACTCGTAAATTGAACACTGTCATTCTCAGTAACAAAATCATGGTAAATATTATATTAATTCGGCATAAAGTTACTTTTTTGACAAGGACGATAGCAGAAGGATGCTGATTACAACATAATAACTTATCAGTAAAGTAACTCTTCATGGCAGGATCTAAAATCTCTGCAGGATTCATCAAGGATCCCGCGGTACACGCAGGAGTTTTGTCTGAACTGGTCTCTGTTTACCCACTAGGATGCCGTGCAGCGGAGGAAACATCCCAAGACAAGTCCTATACGCGGTCACGCCAAGGAATGTTAATGTTATCCTTCACATTCCGGTCTCGATGTGCCGTTGCTGTTGAATCTTAAACAAAAACATCCTCCCTCTCCCCTGTAGACACGCTAACTCTCTCTACCCCCTGCCCCTTCACTCCCCTTTCCCCCGCTCCCTGTAAGGCCATGCTGGGTGCCACCTGTTCCCCGTGACCTTGACTGGAGGGGGGTGAGGGGGGGGGGAGTGGGAGGCAGGCACCCTTTACCCCTAAGCTCGCGGCACTCAACACTTTATTCACTTCGATATCAGAATGAATTACGCATACAAGTTGGGAGATTAAGACATTCCAACAAGTTACGCATAACGTTGGAGTACAGCTTCTTTTTATATAAATTGATCAATCAAAAAAATATATAACTCAGTACTCACTGCAGTGAGTGACAGAGAGCGCATTTTCTCATCGACGAAAACTTGAGGTCACGGGCAGACGGACAGACGGACAGACAGACAGACAGACAGACAGACGGACGGACGGACATGGCGAGCACAATAGTGCATTTTTTCCATAAATGGGAAAATGCGCTAAAAAG